AGTTCATGGTGGGTTTACCGAAGACCATGCAAGGAAGTGATTCTATTTGAGTTGTGATGGATAGACTAACTAAGTCAACTCATTTTGTTATGATAAGGATCAATTACACATTCCAGAAGTTTGCAAGATACCTGATTGAGTTATCGAAACAAAATCTGGTATGTGGTGACAAGGTTGAAAAACTAAAGTTTTGTGAACCTTGTGATTTTGGTAAATACTGTAGGGTGAAGTTTAACAAAGGTAAACAAAGAACACATTGATCCCTTGATTATATCCATGTTGATCTTTGGGGGCCTACAAGGAATCCTTCACACTCAGGTGAAAAGTATTTCCTATCCATAGTTAATAATTATTCAAGAAAGTTATGGGTATTCATCTAGAAGACTAAGGATGAAATTTTTCAAAGTTTCAAAAGTTGGAAGACTCTAATTGAAAACCAAACTGGCATGAAGGTTAAGAGGTTGAGGATCGACAATGGTCTTGAATTTTGCAATGAGACTTTCGACCGTTATTGTGATGCATTTGGTATTGAGAGGCATAAAACTATTGCAGGTACTCCCCAACAAAATGGTTTGGCTAAAAGGTTTAATCGAAACATTCTAGAAAGAGTGAGGTGCATGTTGGTTAGTGCAGGATTAAATAAGGTGTTTTGGTTAGAAGCTATTGTGACTGCAACACACCTGATAAATAGGTGTCCCTCGACTGCCTTGGGAATGAAGACACCTGAAGAAGTCTGGTCAGTACATCCACTTAATCTCGACAAATTTATAATATTTGGTTGTTTATCATATGCTCACATTAGGCAAGACAAGGTCGAACATAGAGATCTAAGATGTATGTTCCTTGGATACCTTGAAGAAGTCAAAGCTTATAGGTTGTGGTGCCTAAAGCCAAGTATAACATGAGGTGTATCATAAGTCAAGATGTATTTTTCAATGAAGTTGTCATGGCTTTCACGAAAATTGATGACTTTGGTCGAATTTTGAAGATCTCTGAAGAAGAGCTAAAATAGGAAGAGATTCCTGATGAGGTAGATCATAGTGATGCTAAATTGTATAACCCATATGAATTCGAAGAAGAAATCCAAGTTGTTGATGAATATGATAAGATTGATAATGACTACCTGCTGGTAAGAGACAGGTTGAGAAGAGTCATCAAGCCACCTCAGGTACTTGGTTAAGCAAATCTCACAACTTATGCCTCAATATCTGTAAGTGAGGTTCTGGATGAAGAACTTAGAGGCTATAAGTTATAAGGAGTCAAAACAAGAATGAATGGATGAAAGCCATGGATGATGGGATGAAATATCTTCATGATAATAACACTTGGGAGCTGATTGAGAAACCTTCAGGGGCCAAGTTAGTTAGTTGTAAGTTGATTTTCAAGGTTAAGGAAGGAATCAAAAGAGTGATGTCAAAGTGATTTAAGGAAAAGTTGTTTGCTAGGGGGTTCACTCATAAATAATTTGTTGACTTCAATGATGTGTTCTATCCTATTGTAAATCATAAATACATTCGAATGATGCTTGTTATGGTGGAAAAGTTCGACCTAGAACTTGAATAGATGGATGTGAAGACAACCTTCATGTATGGTGATCTAGATGAAACAATCCTGATAAGGCAGCCTGAAAGGTATGCAAAAAGGGAAAGGAAGATTATGTGTGCAAGTTGAATAGATCTTTGTATGGCCTGAAATAATATGCTCGACAATGGAATAGGAGATTCGACAAGTTCATCACACACATAGGTTTCACTAGGAGGCAGTTCGACTACTGTGTTTACTTCAGATTTCGACTTGGAAATTCACTTGTTATTCTATTGCTTTATGTGGATGACATCATCATAGCAAGTAACGACGTCGAAGATGTTATGAAGTTGAAGGCTAAGCTCAATAAGGAGTTCGACATGAAGGATCTGAGAGTTGTCTCTAGGATTATTTGGATTTACATCCGGAGAGATAGAAAGAAATCAAGATTATGCTTGTCTCAAGAGACATACCTGAAGAAGATTCTCGACAAGTTTGTAAAGTCGAATTCAAAGCCTATTCTAACAACGAATAATCCTCAATACAAGTTGAGTAAGACTTAAAGTCCTAGTACTGAAGTCGAAAGAGCCTATATGAATAACATTTCATATACTAGTATAGTAGGTTCTTTAATGCATGCTATGGTCTTTACAAGACCAACCATAGCGTACAGAGTGAGCATTGTAAGCAGGTATATGGCCAATCATGGGAAGGCGCACTAGAAAGAATTAAAGTGGATTCTTAGGTACATAAATGAGTCTCTGAGCATAGTCCTGATTCATGGTGGAGTCTGTGGTGATGATAACAAAGTCGAAATTGAAGGATTTGTCGACTCTGATTATGTAGGGTGTATGGATTACAAAAATTCTATTTCTGGATATATGTTCACTATGTTTGGCACAACAATCAGTTGGAAAGTAACACTTCAGAAGTTCGTTGTCTTATCAACCACTAAAGCAAAATATATTTTCCTCACTAAAGTTGTGAAAGAAACATCGTGACTTGAAGATTTTACTAAGGAGCTGAAACTTCAAGGTCGAGTTATCACTGTTAAATGTGATAATCAAACCTCAATACACCTGTCGAAGAATTCAGCTTATCATGAGCGAACCAAGCACATCGATGTGAGACTGCATTTCGTCAAAGAGATAATTGAGCGTCGAGAAGTTCAAGTACAAAATGTTTTGACTGATGACAATACTGATGATATTATCACCAAAACATTGGCAAATATCAATTTTTCCACTGTATGCAGTTAATAAAGCTGCAGGATGAAAGCTAGTTTATTTCATCGTTAGTGTAAAGTTTGTTCCAAGGTGGAGATTCGTGGTATTTGGATCGAAATCTAGTATCGACGGGGATAACTTCATGGTTCGACAAAGGTTTGACATGTAGTCGAAGTCTGTTCACATGCTGATCCTGCATGCTGTAGTCGAAGTATGCTCAAGCATTCAGTAGTCGAAATGATATGATTGTTAACATGTCGAATTGAACCTGTTTGTTTTGCCTAATTGTTTAAGTTAAGTTGTAGCTTAAGTAAACTTAGTAGTATATAAATAGACTAGTTCTCTAGTTGAAAGAGAGTTTTGGTTGTTGATATTCACTTGTAATCTTTAAATCCTAATAAAAAAGTGAATAGTAAAACAGTTATAACCAATCATGATTCTTCTTCTTCTTCTTCCTTCTGCTATCTTTTTTCGTAAAACTTAATAGGGTGTCTTGTGTTTGTTAAAAAACTCAATTTTTCTCATATTTTGATTTGTTTTTGACAACATCGATTCAGAACATATATACTAAATGAGAAGTTATTATCTAAATATGATAAATTTTATTGTTATTTGATAATGTATAAATGACTAAACATAAAATGAAATCATCCTCAACATGTGTATGTATTAATTAACAATTTTTTTTTTAAAAAACAAATCAAACAAACTCAATCAGATCATATTGATTTTGTTTGATTTTATTTTTTAAAGACAACCAAACTAAACTAAATCGCTCATTTTTCTCATACAATTTAAATAATTTTATTATTAAAACTGTATAAATCATACCACAAACACTTTTAAATAAAAAAAAATAGAAAAATTAATATGCGAGAATAAGTAAAACAAATATTTCATTAACCGTTAACGGATATATATATATATATATATATATATATATATATATATATATATATATATATATATATATATATATATATATATATATATATATATATATATATATATATATATATATATATATATTAGAGTAAAGTTATCAAGTTATTATAAAATATTTATTCAAATAAAAGAAATATCAACAATAATATCATTTTTTACCTAAATAATCTCTTAAAAATTTATACCCGTCGACATCTGAAAAATATTTTAATAATGAATGCTAATTTTTATCATGAAAATACTAATGTATTCAACCTTAAGATAGAGCAAAAAGATTTTCCATTTAAAAGTAAAGAAATGAAAGTGTGCAGTGAGAGCAGGCATTTGTCTGTTTTGCCCCTGTCCCCCACTTTTGATTAACATGATTAAAAAGTTAGATTTATTATTAAGTTAGTGTTTGAGAGCAATATATTCACACTCCAAACCTTTTTGTTGCTTTGTGCTTATTGGAATGAAAGACCCTTGAGTACTCTCTCTCTAGGTTTCACTCTTCTCTGCCAAGTCTTCAAACAACAAAGAATAATCAATCTCTCTTCTTCTTCTTCTTCTTCTTCTGCTACACCAACTCTTCCACTTCCATAGGTGCGTGTGTCACTCTTTTGTTTTTCCTTCTCAGTTATTCATTCACATTCTTTACACTTCACTGTTTTTTTAAGGGATTTTTTTTTGGATAAAAAGTTGGTTTGAATGTGGATCTGTTTTAATTTTTAACGACTATACTCTTTTTTTTTCCGCTTGCAATTTGATTTTTTTGTTTCATTTAGTGTTATTAATTGTTACTTTATTTTTGAGTAGTGTCACTTAAATTATTAACAAAATGTTTTTTTTTTAATCTGTCTTCATCTGTCGGAGTTTCCTTATTGCAAAATAGCCCCAATATTTTGTGATATTTTTTTAATTAATTTAATGTTCATGACAATTTAAGAAGGGTATTTTCCATTTCTAAGTGATGTCATGTTTTTGTTTTTGGACTCATGATTCATAAGCGTTATTTTAATTTTTTTTAATGATTTATGCATTTTTTTTCCTCTACAGTTTGTTTCAATTTCTTTTGTTTCAGTGCTGTTTAAGTTTACTATTGAATTAGTCACTGTGAGAGGGTAAGAAGAACTAATCTTGGAGATATAATGATTCATAGAATCACAGATGGTCAGACACAGGATACAATTCGATTCGAAGTGTTGTATTCATCTTTTGTTGATTTTGTTGGTAGTAGTAGTAACATTATTTCTTTCTGTCAATGTATTGAGTTAATAATGCTTTTGTAATGATTCTTGTTAAGACAGTTTGTATATTTGGAATCTGATGCCGCCTCCGCCACTGCTGGTTCCTGAAGAGGAAGGGCAGAGCAACACCTCAACGGTAGCATCTGCATCTCCACGATCCTTGGACTGTTTCTCCCAAACTGGGGCTGGATTGAAAGAACGCAATTACCTTAGATTGTCCGATTGCTCATCGGTGGACAGTTCTGGTGTCCCAAGCTTGTCTGATGAGGAAAAGGTGAACCTGAATTTGAAAGCTACCGAGTTAAGACTCGGCCTTCCTGGATCCCAGTCGCCTGAAAGGGATCTGGATCTTTTTTCTTTGAGCTCAACTAAGCTTGACGAGAAACCGCTGTTCCCTTTGCTTCCCACCAAAGATGGAATTTGCTCATTGTCCCAGAAGAACGTGGTTTCAGGAAACAAAAGAGGTTTCGCCGACACAATGGACGTGTTCCCTGAGGTGAAAAGTTTAAGTATTTGTTTTCCTAAGGTTAAAGGGATGTTCATTCCTACTGTTTCAGAGACTGATTCTTGAGAATTTGTGATGCAGGCGAAATATAATAGTAATGCGCGTGTGAACATATTGCTTTCGCCTAGACCCTCTACAGCTCAACCTACTACAGTTAAAGATATATCAAACAAAGTGTTACAAGAGAGCTCTTGTGCAGCAAATGGAACTGGTGCTCCCGTCAATGGCAGCGCACCAGCTTCTAAGTAAGTAGATAATGCTAGATTAAGAGACCACTAAGCCTAGCTTTTATTGTCATTCAAAATTACCTTAAATTTAAAGCTTTAAAGTACTAGAAATAAGCTAAATTTGTTTGGTAATTGTAAGTATTTTCTTGCTTTTAAATACTTGAAAAGCGATTGTTCAATGTCTATCTTGTAATAATGCTAATTACTTTCTTTCTACGACAGAGCACAAGTTGTTGGTTGGCCTCCTATTAGATCATTTAGGAAAAACTCATTGGCTACCACTTCTAAGAACAACGATGAAGTGGACGGCAAGCCAGGTCCAGCTGCACTCTTTGTGAAGGTTAGCATGGATGGTGCTCCTTATCTGAGGAAGGTAGATTTAAGAAACTATACAACGTACCAGGAACTGTCTTCCGATCTTGAGAAGATGTTCAGCTGTTTTACCTTAGGTGATCTTTTACAACTTTAATTTACTTTTAACAAATTATTTACTGCTAATGAACGTAAAACTGAATTTTTTGATCACTATTTTTTTACTACACTCGGTGTATCGAACTTCATCAGGTCAATGCGGTTCTCATGGAGCTCCAGGAAGAGAAATGTTGAGCGAGAGCAAGTTGAAGGACTTCCTGCATGGTTCTGAATATGTTGTCACTTATGAAGATAAAGACGGTGACTGGATGCTTGTTGGAGATGTACCGTGGGAGTAAGTTTCCTCATGACCTTATAAATGAACTGAATCTTTAACACACTTCGCCGCACTCTAATTTGCATACTGTTCTTAAACCATCAATTTTCTTTTGTCTGCAGCATGTTCACTGACACATGCAAAAGACTGAAAATCATGAAGGGTTCTGATGCAATTGGCTTAGGTATGTAATGTAGGTGATAATTTCTTACAATTAGAATACTTGTTACTCCTAACATTCATATGAATTGATCGACTGAACCTCTTCTGCTTTGTACAATAGTAGCAACAAAGGGCTAGTATCCAGTAGTAGATTACGATTGCGCAGCAATGCATTACTGAGTTTCTTGTTTCCTTGTAACAGAAGAAAACCATTATTGATAATGAAAGTTTGCTTAGGTAGTTTTTCTTCTCTTTGCAGCTCCAAGGGCTATGGAAAAATCCAAGAGCAGGAGCTAGATAGATGGCATTATTGGGACTGATGACAATGTTTTTTTGTCTAGTAAAGTAAAGTTGTAATGAGAAGGGCGGGACAGAAAACCATGGTATAAAGGACCGAAGATCCATGGGTTTTGTTGGTTTCAGATGTTATTATGTTTTGAAGTCCCTAGTAGTGTCTTAATATTTGTGTTACCTTTGTTATTTCTTTCATTATATGGACCTTGTGAAGCTAGCTTCAGTATTAGTAGTTTGGGAGTTGTGTAATATTTATAGGAACCTAATGTTTGGATGAACGTTTGTTGCAATTAGTATATCGTTCATGTTTGTTACCACTTTACTATCTTATTAACTTGTGCAACAAATCATTTTACTCATTTGGGTATAACCATATAAGTATATGTCAAATCCCATATGCTCTAAAGTCCTTAATGAAAGACAACTTAGCTATTACTTTGGGCCTAAATGTGGTGCCCAAAATTATAAAGGCATTACTTCTCCCACCAAGGGTGGTGAGGAGTCATTCTATGTAGATTTAAAATTATCCTTCATTAATCTGTATATTTTCAGGTTCATCCATACACATCAAATCCATGTGCAAGTGACCTGCACTTTGTTTTATTAGAAATGAGTTTTGGGATGCATCTTAATAATAATTTATATGCACTCTATCCATCTCTAATTGAGCCACACTTTTATTTTGTAATAATTTAGTTAGGAGATGCATTTGTAAAAGTTATGGAAGTATAAGTAATCACCTTGTAGGCGGTAAAATGTGCTATTTTTGGAGATATATTGATGTAATATGCCATTTGTAATAAATTTTACACTGATGTAATAAGATTAAAATGTCATATATTAGAATCAATTCAGAATCTATATTACTATTAAAATGACATTACAAAACCATAACATTATCCATAATCCATAATACAAATACTATCAAATACTACTGTGTATATCAGACCTTTTGCTCATTCTTTGTCTCATGTACTGCAATGTTATTCGTGCTTCAGATAGAATGACCTCTACAGTGGCCTCCATAAGATAGAATGACCTCTATAGTGGCCTCCATAAGTGCTTTCTAGAAAGTGTGCAATATCCATAATACAATGATATGTAGGTAACACATCAACCACATGATCTTTCCTAGACTGCTTCTCCTTTAATATTCCAATGAGTTGACCTAGGTGAATTTCTAAAAGCACCTAGTTTCATGTAAGAATGTGAAATTATGAAATACCACTGGATGTAGTCGAATGCACTGCTGCATTCACGAGGAGCTACAACATTTCGTGATTCATACGGTACCAGATAATTATAAAAATCATCATACATGACATCTACATCTCTACAAACTATAATTGGAGGAGCAGATACAAAGGGTTCTCTTGAAACAACATGTAAATACCCGAATTGGGGTATGGATCACTCAGAAAAATGTTGATACATAAGAGGTGACCCACAAGCGAACCATCCAGAGTAGAAGGTTATGTATCCAAGGGATGCGTCTGACAGTGATCGTCGTACGACCTGAAACATATATTATCTACTGATGTGAGGTAAAGAAACATTCTAAACGACTCACTCAACTGATTCCCTCTGAGCGGGGTGAATGCACAAGCATGTGGCTAATCCTCAGTGTAGTCATTAACAAGTGACTAGCTGGAGTTGCGTGGAAAATTATAGGGGATCCATTCCTGAAAATGGTACATGTGAATTATTACTAATGACATAGAACAGGTGTAATGAAAACGGTACAATAACATTAAAGGATGCAAATATATTATCGTAAAAAGCGTGCAACTAGCTGTCATCTATTTGGTCTTCCAAAGACAACCTTCAACTAACTCTGAGTACAAGTAAACCAAACAAGCGACTCTAGTTGTACTCATGAATCCACTCCAAGTCAATGAAGTATCTAAGATAAACCACATCGACGTAATAGACACTCTTGTCCAAATATATGGATGTGCCAATTAAGTACACGAGGTATGACCTCAATGCACATGCTCTATGATACATAACTGGTTCATCGTCAGCATTGGCCTCCACTACCACAACCAGGTGGCGTGCATACAAGTTCTCTAGGAATCCAAATCTAGCATGACACCCTCTGGTGTCTTCCATATCCTTTAAGGCATCCGCTGGATCAACTCCCAAATAGTCCACCATCATCTCTGGTGCATTAGGTCTGGTGATCCTGGAGTGGTATAATAATCTTCCCCTGATAAGAAGATATATCAAACATGATACATCATTCAATGTGATGGATATCTCACCATGCATAAGATGAAAAGATAACATATCAGAGTTCCACCTCTCAACGAATGTTGACATCATACCATGGTTATTAGTAGTATAATCAGTCATGCATAAATCTCACAACCCAAACAACTACATGGAATCATGAAACCGTTGCTCCTCAGGCTGTTGCATCCTCACAATCTTCCTACCATGGTTGATGTATTTTAAAGCATCACGGTACTAAAAATAAAATACATCATCGTTAGAAAGTTTGAATATTATAACACATGTGTTTCAAAGAATAAATACATATAAATTTTACCTCTCAGTCCCATATGTGCCTAACAACATGGTCCGCATACAGAGGCGTCAGTGATGTGTCATACAAGCCTCCTCCAAATTTCTCAAGAACGACAACATCGACAACAAGTGCATGTACTTGGACTGGTGGGGCTTCCGAGGCAGCAACATATGACACATGCCTCCGGGAAGATGAAGTCGAAGGAACCCCAAAAGTTGATGCTTTCGCATCAAATGAACTATCATGGATTAATGGTAGCGAGGGTCAGACTCTTTCATTGCGAACAGATGCATGATGGGGCACCTATGATTAAACCAGACAAACCAAAAAAAGCAGAAAAAATCAAATCCATATGAGACACATTAAAAATCAAACAGAAAAATATAGACAAACAAAATACGGAAGTGTACTTCCGTATTCCTGGAAAATCAAATTTTAAACAAATACTGAAGTGTACTTCTGTATTTTCCTACAACTTAGAAATTAAAAATGGCAGAAATATAAGATACAAAAATGGGACAAACACAATGGGACAAAATGAAATGCTCAGTATAACAACCTAACAATGAATGTAACTGCATATACAATAATGTGGATTACACAACCTAATGTTCCCATTTCTTAATGCATGTAGAGAAAATTAAAAACTTAAATTGAAAAATTACCAACTGCGCAAAGAAAGTTGAATCACTTAGGTTGAATGAATGTTGAGAACCACTTGAGCTGAATGGAGTAGAAACCCCCTTGAATTGAATGAAGTAGAAAACGGATTTGATAGAGAAGCTTGAGAAGTGACTTAAAGTGTTTTTACTGAAAATGAAGAATGAGAAAGGTCTGACGCGTTTTTGATTAAAACCCCTTTCGAAAGTATATTTTCGTAAGTTATATAGAGATGCATTTCTGTAATAATTTTTGGCAAAATAAGAGTGTGACTAACTTACTAATGGATTAAATATGGATAAACTGCGTCCGTAATACTCTTTCGAATTCTAAAAGTACTTTTAGTTTTTCCATAGGGTGAAAAAAGTAATGCCAAATATAATCCATAAGTATGGGTATTGACGAGAAATAGTAGTACAAGGACCTCAATATTTTATGTTGATATGTGAAAAAACATTAAAAAAAATAAAGTAGCATAAGTATGGTACGTATACATGGTACGTGTGCATATTTGATACAAACACTTTATCATATTAAAAATATATATGCTTCCAAGGCAAAAAATTATAAAAGATATTTTTAATTAATAATTTAGTGGGTCTACTATTTAGTGAGTATATTTTATATGTACTTTCGGAACACATCTAAGAGCTAGCACCTAGATATATGTTTTTTTTTATAGATGATATAGTTCTATTTAAAGAGTCGAAAAAAGATTTAAATGAGAAGTTGGAGATTTGGAGATGAGCTTTAGAAATACATGATTTTCGCTTAAGTAAAAGTAAGACGGAGTATATGAAATATAAGTTCAACAAAAGAAGAAGTGTTTCTAACCTAAAGGTGAAAGTTGAAGACGATATCATCCTCTAAGTCACATAGTTTAAACATCTTAGGTATGTAATACAAAATGATGGAGTAATAGAAGGGGATGTAAACCATCGAATTCAAGCTGGGTGACTGAAATAGAGGAGAGCTTCAAGGGTTCTATGTGACACAAAGGTACCACTCAAGCTGAAGAAAATATTTTATCGGACTGCGATAAAACATGCGATGTTATACGAATCAAAATGTTGGACGATTAGGCATCAACATAAAAATAAAGTAAGTGGAACATAGATGATAATGTTGTATTGGATGTGTAGTAAGACCAAACATGATAGAAATATAAACGAAAATTATGGCGCAACTTAATACATGTAGCCGACTCCACTTAATAGGATAAGACTTGGTTGTTTATGTATTTATATAAAATTAAACATAACAATATATGTAAAATTTGGTGGCAAACGATAAATGATAGAGTAGGAGTGAAGAATGACATCAATAACGAATACTATTGAAATCGACAGAAAAAGAGAATGAAAGGTGTTGTGGAAATGACGAACAAGAAAATGAAGCGTTATAGCAAGATATATATTATAAAGGATAAACATATTTTATTTTATTTTAAAATATAATAAATTATAAAGGATAAAAATAAAATTTTGTTACAATAATAAACAAAAAAAAATGAAGAAAAAAATAATAAAGGAAAAACCACTTCAAATAACATTTGTAAAAAATGTCAAAAGCTAACAAAACAAAGTTTTTTGTTTTGTTTTGTTGATATGAGATGAAAAGGTAAATGTTAATTTCAAATAAACTTTTAGTTGTTGTATCTAAATTTAGGGTGAACTAATCAAAATAATGAAATTCAAGCATAGGTTGGCAACACAAGTTAACTCCATAAGCTGTTAAATTTGAATTCAATAGTTGGTAGCCTATACCATCATTCCAAAGTCTAATTCAAATTCGTTAACAAATATTAAAATTT